TTAAAGTCCGCGTGAACCGGAAGTTGCTGCCGACTTTATTTCAGTGTAGTGACGTATTTCCATCTGAAACTGAATATTGAATAGAGGGCATGGTTTTATGTTTGCGCTCCTCCTCTCTGTCTCTCACTCATAGCAATCTAACGGTTGGAGGGGTGTGTTTAAAAGGATATTCTGCCCAAGCCGTCAAACTGACATCATCAGAAAAGGAATGCCATTCCAGAGCGGAAGTAAATGTTCAGATTTTGATTAAAGATCACGAAGACAAACAATTTTTTTCAGCGGATTAACTTGCACGGATTAATTGTTCACATAATTACTAGCAATGTGCGCTAGTAAAGTAAATAAAGTCCATTTTGATTTCATGCGGACTTTAAACCTTCACTTCAAGGTACTTTCGTCTGCGTGTTCCAGATGAAGAACCTTCTGCACCTACTTCAGGGCCTCATCTGCATCTTCCAGATTTTAGGACCCTTTTGTGTTCCAGGAGATCAGCACCTATAGCGCTCCGTGCTCAAGGCTTATTAGTTTCAGAGAAGCATATTTATCTTTCCATTAGATCACGTTACTCTGACATAGCAACACCCAACTTACTCACTTGCATCTTATGCACTTTATTCCTTTGTCATTCATGGAATTCATTTAATAGATGTTGTTTATCTTTTGTTAATAACATTTATTTTGTTAGACTTGAGTCTTCCTTGTGTTGATAATACAGTAAGAGACAATACAGGTTAACGTTAATCTCATTAATCCGCATTTAAGTGGATCCACGTTTTAGTATTTGTCACTTTTTCCTATGCTCTTATTTTCCCTTATTACACGGCTCTGTGGAATACTTGATTCTGATTGGTCAGTCTTGACATTCTGAGGTCTGTTATCCCTCGATAACAACCGGTAAAAACTAATAACACAGGCTCATCCGGGTAACTGAAGTCGCCACTATACTCTTGCTAGGAACATTTTCTCTTCGTGGAAGCTTTGCGTTTGGTTAGCTAATAAAATATTAAAACTCAATCCAATATTATGTATACATTTATTTAATTATGTCATCCTGGTATCGCGGACTCGCTCTCTCGTTTCATACAAACACAGCTGCTACCATTTTGCGACGATTGTTTTGTACGCTGTAATAGATTATAAGATAACTAATAAACTGGTAAGATTTTAAAACATTTTATCGCTTTGATTATTTAGGTGGTGAAATGTTGTGTAATAAGTGGTTTGAATGCACCGTATCCCTTAAATGCCCGTCTAGTTTGAACTTGCCGCTTGTTAGCAACTGCTTTCTTCACGGAAGCTTTGCGTTCAAACATTTCAACTCAAATCAATATTTTGTGTCCAATTATTTACTTATGTGGCAAGTAGCCATGTAATAAGAGGGATAATGTACATCCAGCCAGTTGTTATCGCAGAATAACCCCCTTCAGGGTGATACAAGGCCTGATTCACTTCGGGGTCCTGATCACCCTGTCGGGGGTTATTCTGCGATAACAACCTGCTGGATGTACATTATCCCTTACTTATACCTACGGTTAGTGATTCATTTTAAACCTCTAACCCCACGTTTTAAAGGTGGACACGTAACTTGTTATATTTTTATGTTTTGACTTTGCATGTTAAGAAATACTTATTGTATACCTACTATCGCTATTACAGGGTGGTACAAGGCCTGATTCACTTCGGGGTCCTGATCACCCTGTCGGGGGTTATTCTGCGATAACAACCTGCTGGATGTACATTATCCCTTACTTAATATCTTCCTGTCCTAGATTTATGGTTTTGAACGATGACTGAAAACTTGTATAACAGACACTTCTCATGTTTATTGCCATCTTATGATGAATCGCTTGTTATTTTCCTCAACTGTAATTTGCTTTGAATAAAAGCGTCTGCCAAATGAATAAAAGTAATTGTAAATGTAAAATAAAGTTTGATAACAATAACAAGTTGATCAAAACGCAATATTTAAATGAGTCTCACACCGTGTCTACACCGGACGTGACAAAATACTATAATCAGTGATGTTGTCTACACTGGATGTGGCGCGAAACGACAAATCCCGATAGTAAACTGCTGCCTCATTCTGTTTATGAGGTACTGACACAAAGAACAAATGATTTGCAACAGTCGCTTTGTCGCGGCCAGTGTAGAGAGCCTCACGCTGTTGCAGCACGGCGCAACAACGGTCTCGTCAAGTGTACGAGTCTTACTAGCGCTCCACGGCCTGGCGTCCTCCATCTTTCTTCTGACAGTTCGGGAGAAAGGGGGCGGGGTTTTGCGTGACGTTGACCTGCGAATGCAGACTCGATGGCTGGATTGCGTTTACATTACACTGAGAGCCGATCACAATGCGTCCTCGACTACCTCTGGACCAGGACAGCGGATAGCCTTCCAATCAGAAGCGTGTTTACACTTGTCTTTTCAATGTGTATGTGGACAACATCCAGATGCAAGTCGCATGTTAATGACAAGCGTAAATGCAGCCTTTGATTTCTCATATGGACTTTAAGGTTTTAAAGCTGATTGAAACTCTGTCTCTCCGGTGTGAACTCTCATGTGCCTGTTAAGGCTTCCTTTTTGAGTGAAACTCTTTCCACACCTTCGGCAGGGGAACAGCTTTTCTCCAGTGTGAACTCTCATGTGGATTTTAAGGTTTCCATATAGACAGAAACTGTTTCCACACTGTTGGCATGTGTAAGGCTTTTCTCCAGTGTGAGTTCTCATGTGCCTGTTAAGGCTTACTTTTTGAGTGAAACGCTTTCCACACCGTTGGCAGGTGAACGGCTTCTCTCCAGTATGAACTCTCATGTGGACTTTAAGGTTTCCATGTTGTTCAAAACTCCTTCCACACTGAGGGCATGTGTAAAGTTTATTTCTGGAGTGCATTCTTGTGTGCCTGTCAAGGCTTCCTTTTTGAGAAAAACTTACACCACACCTTTGGCAGGGGAACAGCTTTTCTCCAGTGTGAATTCTCATGTGGATTTTAAGATGTCCTTCTTGATTAAAACCATTTCCACACTGTTGGCATGTGTAAGGCTTCTCTCCGGTATGAGTTCTCATGTGTCTGATAAGGTTTACTTTTTGAGTGAAACTCTTTCCACACCGTTGGCAGGTGAAAGGGTTTTCTCCAGTGTGAACTCTCATGTGGTGTTTAAGGTTTCCTTTTCGGTTGAAACTCTTTCCACACTGCTGGCAGGTAAAAGGGTTCTCTCCAGTGTGAACTCCCATGTGGACTTTAAGGTTTCCATGTTGTTCAAAACTCCTTCCACACTGCGGGCATGTGTAAAGTTTCTTTCTGGAGTGAACTCTTGTGTGCCTGTTAAGGCTTCCTTTTTGAGTAAAACTTACACCACACCTTTGGCAGGGGAACAGCTTCTCTCCAGTGTGAACTCTCCTGTGTCTGATAAGGTCTCCTTTTAGGTTAAAACTTTTCTCACACTGTTGACAGGTAAAATGCTTCTTTTCGCAGCTTCTTGTCTTTTGAGCTCTTTTTCGGGAAGTCTTTTCAGCCTGTGAGCAACTAAATGGTTTTTCTTCAGGTATGAACTTGTGATGTTTCTCAAGCTTATATTTCTCATCTGTTTCGTTCAGAACTTCACTCTCCTCTTTCAGGGTCATCAGACCTAAGGTGAAACAAGATGAATAAATTGAACACATGACCTGCTTTTGGCATCTACTCATGGCTAGATTTCTCTTCTAGTGATGTTAGATCAATTGAGTAGTCAGGCCCACACACACTTATAAGCTGATTTTTTTCAGGGCTGCTTGTATATAATGACTTCCAAGTATAAATTTTCAGGATTCTGTCACTTTGGTCAAGCTTATTCATAACAGTGTTGTAAAGTATTTGAGTGAATGTAATTAGTAAAACTACAAATCAGCCAAAAAGATTTTACTGAGTATCAATGATAATAGCAACTTTTTTTGCAAATAAGTACATGTAGTCTTTACTCCAATACATTTGTGATGAGTAATGCAATTACTTGATTAATTTTGCATGGCACCTAACTTTTTCTGCAGCAGTTTATTTCTGCTACAAAAGTAGTTTACAGAGTAAAATAAGTCTACAGGGCATTGAAGGTACTACATCTTGTGTGTTTTGCCCTTACTCACCCAAACTTGACAACAAGGCTATTTTATGCAATTGTGAGTGCAATTAGCAGGTAGTTTCATATTGGAGACAAAATCTGCTAAGAGATATTTAAATGTAACAAATCATGTAAAAAAGTATTATCTTTTATTAGAAAATTAAACTCTGGCAGGTCTAATGAAGTTCTTCCTGCCTGCATGTGGTTGGCGAGTCTGTTCAACAGTTGCCCTATCAATGGGCAGCGGAAAGTGTATATAATTGACAGAGTTGGGCAAGTTACTTCCAAAATGTAATACATTATATATTACTAGTTACTGTCTTTTGAAAGTAATTAGTTAGCACGTGATGGAGATTTACCGCTGATTACAGAATGGCTTTAATGACAAGATGCGCGTTAAATATCGCATGCGATTTATCGTGCAGCCCTAATTTTAATGTAGCTTGCGCCAACAGTTGTACACAGAAGCAGCTCCGGGAGCATGACGATCTTTGAGCCTGCATACATCAGTGTTTATTTGTGTTTGTCTATAATGTGTCTTAAATCTCATTTTGTTCAAAAAAATAATAGTGACTATAATCGAATCGCGAGTTGAGTGAATCGTTACATCCCTATTTATCAGTAATTACAACAGTTAAAGCTTCTGAACTTTTAGTAAATGCTCTGAGAGAAAGAAAACCAACCTGTTTGTTCCTCAGTTTCTTCTTGTTTGACTCTGAACGCTTCTTCAATCTTCACGTCTTCACGCTCCTCTTTAATAGCCGCCATCTTTATATTAGTGAGTCACGTGGATCTCAGCCGCTTCGGCGGGAGTTTTTCTCTGTGTTTGGACGCTCTGTCGAGTTTAAGATGAGAAAAATGAACAGAAAGAAAATAAATCCAAACTACATCTGGTTCAGTAATCAGTGCACTGATGAGAGAGTCAAAGAGTGATAGTACATTGGTTTTACACGACCCGACTAGGCAAATAAACATGAAACAAGTAATGATTTAGTATTTAATCATTTGTAGTTTACATTTAATAGATGACGCTTTCATGAAAATATCGGTAGTTGGTTTGTTAAAGTTGCCATTATTAAGTGTTTGTTGTTCTCGTTGCGTTTTGATCAGAAAGTGTTGCTGAATCACTGAATCACTTCGCGAAGCAATCGGCTCAACTGATTCGTTTCAAAAAGATCCGTTTTTCTATCAATACTTGCCCGTGATTCTTGTTTAAGATAAACTAATCGCGCTTTTTCTGTTACTTGTGAACAAAGCGCTGTACTCAAACGAAATAACGTCCATTAATGTTAGTCAGGTATTACAACGTTACATTCAATGATCATTGAGCCGTTTTACAGCACTTTAAAAACACACAAAATAGTCCGCGCTGGCTGCATTGACTTAAACACGTTAAACGCTTAAAAACACAAACCTTTCTTCAGCCGAATCAACACAGACGCCGGAGCGGCCTTATGACGTCACATCGCCATTCCAAAATAAAAGTCCCGAAAAATGAAAAAATAAAATAAACCCAAAAAACCAAAGAAAAAAACACAACCACAGGGTTACCTTTTCGTTTCTAAATTCTTATTAATCTCTAAGAATTTTATTTTATTCTTCCATTTCTGCCTGTATTCATGGTATTTATTGCATCTAAACAAGACAAACAAGACATCTTCCTTGGTTTGACATCTTGTACATAATCCATTACTCTTCCCTAATATTATCTGCGATGTATAATTCAATCCAGTTTGACCTAATCTCAGCGTTCACAAGATAAACCACTATGTAATAAAATAGATGGCAGAGGAGTTGAATTCTTGGTTAGACACATATTTAAATACATGTCCAATGATGTGCTGAAAACCTGTATTGTATAAAAGTAAAGCTGCTTTTTTTTTTCAATAAATAAATATATACACAAGTAAATAAATTACTGTGTGTGTGCAATTATATGATTTACTTTAAAAGTCACAGCTTCATAACAAATGGTAGGTGTTGAGTATCACATCCAATTTAATTAAAAATGTTAAATTATTTCAATAACATTGTCGTTTGAATTGTTCAGTGAGTTTAATGAGCAGTTCAGTATCATGAGACCCCAATGACGTATGCGGCAGACAAATGTGACCTCCGAAATGAGACTGGTTCGCATGAGGGTTCGAGGCCGTCCCCAAATATCAAACAGCTCCACGTATTTCCACCAATCAAAAAAGATTGGTTCAACTCTGGCTCTCTTTCATGTCCAATGCAAACTAAGTCAATGGCCCGGTTTCACAAACAGAGCTTAGTTTAAACCAGGACTAGGCCTTAGTTAAATTAAGATATTTAAGCAACTTTTACAAAAATGCCTCTTGACACAGAACAATGACGCTAGGCGCGTTTCCATTACAGATTTGCGCAAAACTTTGGCGATATTTTCTGAATGTCGATAAAAAAGTATTGCGAAATGACGGCGTTTCCATTAACCAATGTTATGCGGCTAAAACGTAACCTTTTGCCTCTCGCGATAAGTCATGGCAACGGATTTTGGTGGGATTTTGGCTATATTTATTCAAAGGAGGCTTATGCGTGTATCTTTACAGAAGCAGCAAAGAGAGCCGCTTCAGAAACGTGCGTGGCGCGGCTGGAATAAACCATAGACTGTATAAAAACATAAACACAAGCATTGCGTGGCCGCGATAAGTCATGGCAACGGCCGGATTTTAGTGGGCTTTTGACGGATTTTGGCTATATTTATTCAAAGGAGGCTTTTGCGTGTATCTTTACAGAAGCAGCAAAGAGAGCCGCTTCAGAAACGTGCTTGGCGCGGCTGGAATAAACCGTAGACTGTATAAAAACATAAACACAAGCATTGAGTGGCCGCAATCAGCTTCAGTGACCGTATCAGAGCCACACTGCACCGCAGACGTGTGCCGTGTAAATTGTCTAAGCATTAATGGTAGGGAAAGCCCCTTATACTGGAGCGCGGCCACTTATGAAGTGTTTCTTGGCGGTTATAGTACATTGAAGAATGATCATGTGACTTTTTACATATACGCCATATGACCTGTAAATGCGAAAAAGCCGTTTCCATTGCAGTTTTGCGAATTATTCCTTTTTCGCATTGCCTGAAAAACCACCTCATGCGAGCGTAAAAACTTTTTTGCGATATATGGGCGTTTTTGCGAAATTGACGAGTTTCCATTAGGCGTATTTTCAATTCGCAATTTCAATTTGCGCAATTTGAAGGGTAATGGAAACGCGCCTATTGACATATTTTAAGATACGTCAGAGCAAGATATAGTGGGTAGGATTTATCTCCCACTTGATCCAAGCCCTCAATGAATCTATCTTTCCTTTAAAAAAATGGTACAATATTAGGATAATCCGTTTTTTTTTTTTTTTCTTTTTCATAAAAGAAGTGAAAGGTGACTGTGTATTTATGGAAGATATATGCATTGCAAAAAATGTTTTGTTTCACAGTTAATGTTGTATATGTAAAGTCTAAGCAGTAATAGTTGTATTCACTTGCAGTGCATTAGCAACAGTCTTCCCAATGTGAACTTTTGTAGTTGAAGGTGCTCAGGATGACACGAAGTGCTGATGGAAAGGTCCCCGTCATGGACTTGTCTCTGAGATGTGGACACAAGCTCTTTGAGGTGTCCCACTGGAGAGATGAGTTGAGCTTAACTTGGTTGAGCTGAAGTTTAAGTGACTGATCTCAAATCAACTCTCAGGATTAACAGACTGGACAAATTAAATTCATCCAGCTGTGACGGTATCATGCATCGCGCCACTTAATTACTCTTTAATTGATCCCTCCTCATCTTCCTACTCGAGTGGTTAAACATTTTTGAACATTTTACACATTCTCATTGGTACTTTTAAAATATTGGTAACACCTGCAGCACATTTCTTACAGTACTTATTAAAATGACCAATTATGTTAGTTAATAAAATATAACTTCATCGTTAGTGAACGTTAGCTCAGTTCCACAAATTTGTAAATGTTGAAATGAACATCAACAAAGATGAATAAATGCCTTAGAAGTGTTTTCATTATTAGATCATGTAAACTAACTAACATTACTAATGTTCATGTAATAACTCGTGTCTATTATATGATGTCTGGACTGAGAATTCTGTATATGTTATTATATTTCAGATCGCTGAACTGTTTGACTGTTTTTTGACGATGTTGTTTTCACTTGCTCCATTTTTTTAATTAGTTGATTGTTGTGTACAGATATTACAATATCTGTCAGTTTCTATACATTTTGCTTTAAATGTTTTTTCTATGCATTTTACATTAAGTACGATGAATATGGCTAATTTATTTACTTGTGTATATATTTATTTATTGAAAAAAAAAAGCAGCTTTACTTTTATACAATACAGGTTTTCAGCACATCATTGGACATGTATTTAAATATGTGTCTAACCAAACTTAACTATAACTAGTTTTTTTATTTGTAGAAAACCATGTTTAATTTTTATAAAGATACATAGGCCTATGTAATTAAAGCGTTATGTAATTGAGTGCAGAAATGAAGGTGTAGTCTTACCTGACGCTGATATTACAGTAGCGAGTCTTAACCGTTTACGCCATCTGGCTCTTGATTTGATTAGATTTTTTTCTTTTCCGGGAGGCAAACTTTGAAAATGCACACAGTAGTAAAGACGCTTAGGTAGTTCATGTTGGCCGAAACACAAGGAAAAGCGTTGTGAAAGATATTGTCGGCGATCAGACGTTCGCATTCGAACGGGATTAGGTTTCTCTGAGGATCACTGAGTTTGCTGAAAAACAGTAGGTGATTATTACAGAGGTTGTGTGAGAAAAACAAGTACAAACATAAGTTCTAATAGGAGTCAAAATCTGCTCAGGGGTAATAATGGAACAACAAAAAAGTGATTGAACAACGGGATCTGCATTTTCAGGGGTTTTGTTTAATAAGACAATACATACAAATGTGTTTCACAACCACACCTTTCCTGGTAAAAATCAATCAATCAATAAAAATAAAATGAAAAATGATTTTCAAAATGCATAACGCATGCGAGTATAAATTGGTGCTTTACTTGCTGCAATTGACAAGTGATTTTGATCAGAATCAGAGCTTTATTGCTTGCACAGACTAGCAATGTACCTTGGTTTTGGAGCACACACAGTACACACATAAATATAAGAAGACACTTAATAAAATTAATCAACATTATAATATTATTTAGCAAATTAATGTTTGAATTATTACTTTAAATTATATTGTCCCTGGTTCAGTACACACATATAAATATAAGACACTTGATAAAATTTAAGAATAAAATCTAAAAACAGTATAAAAGAAACGGGTAAGTTTAGTCAGAATAAACATACTAACAGATTATGAACAGATTTGTAGTATTGTGATAATAATATGAATAAATAGGACTGCATGAGTTTACAAAGATATCAAAATCATGATCAGCAATAGGGCTGGGTATCGTTCAAAAATTTTCGATATCGATACCGATACCGGTTCCTGAATGATACTTTTTTCGATACCAATTTTATGAAATCAATTTTAACTTTAGATTACATTATCTAAAAAAAAAACTTTGGTTTTATTTTTCAGCTTGTTGATGTTTATACAAACTCAAAGACTCATCTCCTGAGCCACTGCAAATGCAGTGATTGGCATCAAGACAGCAACATAATGACATGTAATTAAAAAAAAGTACATCACTCACCTGACGAAAAACGTGACAAATTTCTAGACCTTATAAGAGAACAGTCAAGCGACTAAAATGACAAAAAAAAGTTACAATGTTAATGAAATGTGTACTTTTTTATTTATTTTTTTACACAATTCCCAATTTTTCACTATTTTCTAGTAATTTTACAGGCCTTACATCTTTATTTCAATGTTTGTAATTAGCAATTAATTTAACTTTACCTGTGGACCAGATTTGTAATGTGACAGCATTGATTACAGTTTCTTAAAGGGGTCATATGATGCTATTTTAAAGATCATTATTTTGTGTATTTGGTGTAACAGAATATGTTGACATGCTTTAATGTTCAAAAAACACATTATTTTTCAAATACTGTACATTATTGTAGGTCCTCTATGCCCCGCCTCTCTCAAACGCTTCGTTTTCTACAAAGTCCCTCCTTCCGACAAGCGCAGTCTGCTCTGATTGGCCAGCTGACCCAGTGCATTGTGATTGGCCGAACACCGCAAGCACTCGTCGGAAATGTAACGCCCCTTACCATAATCGTGAGCTTCATCTTTCAAAATAAATGTAAAGACAGAGCCCGAAAGGGGAACAGAGTCGCGTGACAGACGTGGGTTTGTGATGTGACCCCCTCTCTCTCTCTCTCTCTCTCGCTCTGTCTCTCTCGCTCTCTCTCTCGCTCTCTCTCTCTCTCGCTCGCTCTCTCGCTCTGTCTCTCGCGCTCTCTCTCGCTCTCTCTCTCTCCCTCTCTCTCTCTCTCTCTCGCTCGCTCGCTCGCTCGCGCGCACACACACACACGCTCCGCATTTGAACAGTCAATAACAAATACTTAAACTAATAACAAAACAGTAGATGATTCAGAAGCGCCAGATTGTCATAGCAAAGTCAGAATTACCTCCTCTCCTAGGTTCACGAAACGGTCGTCCATAAAATGCATTGCTGTTCTGTTGTAAGTAATCTTAAAGATTCCTAAATGCATCTACTTTCGGAAGGCCAAATAAAGTGCTTTTGCTTTCGGGGCGGCATTTTTCCACATAGTGAGGTAGATATGTGGGGGCGTGTTAGAACGAGGCGTTTTAGGGGGGCGAGGGGGGCGTGTAACTTTGATAAAGAATATCTCTTTGGATTTGAGACTTTAGTCTTTGCAACTTCAGGGATCTTATCTATGCACAATCAGCTTGTAACACTCCAAAGAGAAAGGAAAACTTGAAATCACATCATATGACCCCTTTAAAAAGAAATACAAGTAGGGATGCTCATTTCGGTTAATTTTCCTGACCGACAACCGCTGCTCGTTAACCGAACATTAACTTACTAACATATAAAATTAGAATAATAAATTAGAGTTAAATAAAAATAGAATCTGTAATGACATAAAAATACAAACAAATATTTCATTTTAACGTGCAAACAGCAGCATACAGAGAAACAACAAAACCTGGATTCACACATCCTCAAATTATCACGCACCAGCAGTGCTTCTGAGAACAGAGAAAATCTGAATAAAATAATATAAATAAAATAAATAGGCCCACACTAAATATATATAAATTAAATAATTATCTAATTAAGATGATAAAACTAAGACACAGACTGAATCCTTCAATGCGCTTTGAAGAACGGTACCGGCCTTGTTCTTCACGTCAGACATAAACATTTATAGCAGGCCTACCTCAGTGTACGTGTCTAGTTTTTTTTTATGCTGTACAGATAGACTGGAAGCGCTGCCTGCTAACTGTTAGACCCGCAGCAAAAACACCATCACAAAAATCCTGTCAATTTGAGGTTCGGGACTTTTCATCCAGTGGTCATATGTTTCTATCCACAGCATGTTTTTGCAGCGTTGAGCAACATAGCCAATCACAGACATATCTGTTGATTTCATTAACACAGTGGCCAATCAGAGGTGTGCCCTGCTCACTCCAAAGTCTAAACCCCAAGCGCTCTGTCTGCCCTTCGAAGGGAGTAGGGCATAGGGATGATGCCCAGTGAACCGTTCAGTATGAAAACACGTACCGCTACACCCCTACTGCAAACCGTCACACGGGCCGAATTAATGGGAGTCAAACTTGATTTGTTTTCAAGCATATTCACATATTCTATGGATTTATTTTTTGGCTGTGGGTTAATGCATTTTTCGCATGATCTATTTTGACATGAAGAGGCTTGCTTGATTGTAACTAGGGCTGCACAATTAATCGAATGCGATTGTCATGCGCATTTTGATAGTAAAGC